AGATTTAAAAAAAAAAAAAAAAATATATATATATATATATATGAAGTGTTAACTGGTTCTATACCTAGCATGTTATATGCTATACTTGGTTATCAGAATTATTTATGGGGCAGGTACACTGGGATGAATGGGACTGGCACATATTCCCAGAGGAGTTGTGGACAAGCATGTTACTGTGTGTGTGTGTGTGTGTGTGTGTGTGTGTTTTGCCGGATCCTCTGGGCCAGTTTTGGGGTCAAATGTGCAGGTCCCAACTGAAGAGATCATCACAGCAAAAGCAGCACATATCCCAGAAGGAGCCCAGGTCCGTGGCAATGCTGACACGTGATGTGGCTCAGCACCCTCATGGCAGCAGCCATGACTGCCCAGCAGCAGGAACAACCCTTTTCCATTTAACCTCCTACCCTGGCATCTTAAGTGGGAAGCATTGGCACAGTTCACCCTTTTTTTAGCTCCATAGGGGATCCTTAGAGCCAATTGAGCCTTGAATTCAAACAGGGGTGGGGGAGAAGGCAGGGTGGGGGGAGATAAGCTGGGGATGAGAGGAGAAAGGGAGAAGTGATTGCGGAAGGAAGTGGGGATGGCTGACACTCTGATGTGGGCGAGGCTGTGTCAGAGCCAGAGAAGAATTTCCTGTAGCCCTTTCTTCCATGTTTTTAGATGAGTCATGACCGCTGCTGGGAGAAACCACAAGAATTTTTTTGAAGGTGAGGATTGGACAGAAGCTTATCTGTTAGCTTTGCCTGGAAATTCTGTCGTTACAATCTGGGAAAAGATGAGATGAAGTGCCCTCTAGTGACCCAACTAAGTGGTGGTCACTGTACTTCTCCTTTGGTTGGTTGATAGTGACTCCACCTAATACTTTGATTCTTTTGTGGGAAATCTGAGGGAGCCACCACCATCATGGCCTTCACAGGGTAATGACGTTTCGTGCCCTGAGGCTGTCTCCTGTGTGGCCATGAACCTGGACGACTGTTGCCTGCACAGGAGGGGAGGCATGTTGCTGTAGCTTGCCCCATCGCCAGGGCCCACCTTGCTCTTTCAGGTGCTGCGGAAGTGCATGTGCATGCCGCTCAGTGGAGATGCTGGGTGACAATAACAAAGGGATTGATAAGAAGTTACTATTGTAGCCATATACCACCAGCAGCTTCCCTGGAGCCCTGAAAGGGCCAAGTTATTGAGACCTCTTGGTGTAAAGAGACTGGGTTGTTTTGAAGAATAGCACAGGCACAGTTAACAATTCCTGTATGCTTATGTACATTCAGCCTGCGCTATGCTGCCAGAACACAGTGGCAGCAGCAAACGTGGAGCTCAGTCATCAGTGGACCTAAAGGTCCCCAGGGAATTGCAAAACCATTGGTACAGCGCAGTCTCCTCTACCCCTTTTTATTTGGAGATGATTTTTAGTTTTATAGATAACTTGCAAAAATACTAGGGAGTTTCTGAGAGTGTACCCATCATCTAATTTCCCATAATGTTAATATCTTATAAAATATTACAACTATCAAAGCCAAGAGATTAGCATTTGCATAATACTATTCACACAGTTATAGACCTAATTTGAATTTAACCAATTTCCAATCATGTCCTTTTTGTACTAGGATTGTGTCTAGAATACACACTGCATTTATGTCTCCCTAATCTCTTCCAATCATGTCAAGGGACACGTGATGTCATGTCTTATTGTTAATTATGACCACCTGATTTAAGTTTTATCTGATGAATTTTTACATTATAATGTTATCATTTCTCCCTCTGCAATAATAATAAATACCTTGGGGAGAAACTTTGATACTATACAAATACCTTATTTTTCTTTAACTTTTGCATATTGATTTTAGTATCTATTGATGGATTTTGCCTGAAGTCAGGGTATTTTTGGGCCAAACAGAAGTAGCAGTCCTAAAAGGATGACATCATGATAAAAGTGGAACCTGTCCCATATAGGAATTGAGAGAGTGGTTCTAATAGACTGAGGTAGGCCACTAGCACGGGAGGATCATGAAGCAATACAAGTATGGAGGATAGCATTACTACGTTGGTGGAATACCACAGCCAAGTACAACTTGATGTTTACATACCCTTATCTGAGAGGGACTGTGGGTTGTGTTAATGATCATGGAGGCAAATGTTCCAAGGACAATAGCCAGGTAGGCCCAGATCATAAAAATATTTAGGGGTCAAGACTGTCACTGCTCCCTTTGTGGTTTTCCTCCATTCCAGCAAGAGTGCCTTGAGTGAAGAATTGATCTTCCTTGCAGTTTAATGGTGGGAGATAGGCATATAAAAGACATTATTTCCTCTTCTGAGTGGCACCCAGTGCTCCAGATTGCCACTCAGAAACCAGTGTATTTGTTGTTGACCCATCTTAAAATGCATAAGTAGTAACAGATGAAGGGGAAAAATACCGTTTAATTTGTTAAGGAGTGCTTAGAAGGAGTGGGGTCATGCTTGGCAACCTTAGTCAAAGATACCCCATTGGATATGACAAATCCTGTTGGCCAACCCTGGGCAACAGCATGGCAAGTTCTTATAGAGAACACTCTCTATATAACCCAGCAGTTACCCAGAAAGAGGAATACATGTCAGTATTTACATGAGTGTTCACAAGCAGTGTTGTTTATAATAGTGAAAAACTGTAAAACCTGTTCGCCTTTATTCATAGTAATGAAAGAATAAAAACCCATTCAAGAGTAAAAGAATGAAAATCAGCTTAAATGGAAAAGCAAACAAAAAGCAGCCCTGCCATTTATCAGCCTGGGAGGACAGATACAGATAAAGCCAGGTGCAGAGTTCATAGAAAACACTGTCTCTCCCAAGGTCGTAGAGCAACAGTAAATATGGACTGTTTCTGTCTTCCTCATGTTGCCCCAGACCTACCTAGCAGTATCCATCCTTTCCTGGTATACGCTGTACTCAGGCTCACCTCCTGGCAGCTGCCACTCCCTATTTAATCCCACCTTTTCTAACCTCTTCTCAGAAGCAGATGTTTGAGAGCTGATCACCCCTTCCCTTGGAGTCTTTCTATAGTCCCTCCTCTTGTCCAGTGGCATTCCGTGGTTCCTATAGTGCTTTCCTCACTTGCTTCTGGTCAGTGTGGCTAATTAGACTCTGACAGTAGCCTCCAAACTGGAAATGTCCATCCATAGGTGACTGTATAAGCAAACTTGTGTTACAGTAATTTGTTGGAATACTAAAACAACTACTAATGTACACAACAACATGGGTCAATCTCAGAAACATTATGCTGAATAAAAGAAGTGAGAAGAAAAAGTATGTCCTGTCTTATTCTACTTGTGTGATTCCAGAAGAAGCAGAACAAATATATAGCAGTAGAAATCTGATCTGTGTTTGCCTGGGGCCAGGGTTTTGGAGTGACCCAGCACAGGGCAATTTTCTTCGGAGAGGGTTGCAGTGGTGCTTATTGAATATATATATGTATATACACATTTGTTAAAAGTTATCAGCCCACGTAATCGACATGTTAACTTTATTGTGTGGTTATCATGCCTTAGTAAAATAGAGCAGGAGACTCTGCAGTGCCAAGGTGTTAGCCCAAGGCTGGGGGTGAGTTGCAGCTGATGGGGTTAGCAGCTGTCCAGGGAGACCGGAAATATGACCTCAGATTTACTTGTTTATAGCACTGCTCTCTGGATGGATTTTGTTAATGTAAATGCAGAATGCTAATTGGTCCTTGCTGAACTAAGTGAATTATCCTTGTTAATCGGTGTCATTGATTATAAACTCCCCGGTTGTCAGGGTTACAGCACTTAGAGGGATGTGGCTCGGGATCTACTCCCAGAGGGCCACTGCCAAGCATAGAGAAGGAAAGAGGTAAGGATTGGAGGGGAAGCTTCCTTGGCTCTCAGCTTGCATCATCCTTGCTTTTTTTCAGGTGTGCCCAATGCAGGGGAGGGGCACTGAGCTGCACCTGAGATCTTGCCAGACCTTGTTATGCAATGGCTGCTTGCTTGAGCGCATCCTTTGGCATTTTGTGTTGGTTAAAACTGAGAAAACGGATGAATTCTTAGAATCTGAAAGTCTTTTGTCAGTTCTGGACTAAGTACCAACTGATAATGAATGAGTCAGTGACTGTGTACTATGCTGTGTGTTTAAGTAGTCAGTATAAAAATACCTTCCATTCTCTTATGTATAATAAAAGTTTTAATTTATCTTCCTTTTCAGTTAAACCTTCAGGTACAAGATGCTACGTTGATGGGTCAGAAGAAATTGGAAATGACTTTAAACTAAAATGTGAACCAAAAGAAGGTTCCCTTCCATTACGATTTGAATGGCAAAAATTGTCGGACTCACAGAAAATGCCCACCTCATGGTTAGCAGGTACTGCTGATGATACTATTTGTGCCACTTGCCATTGATTTGGACTTAAATTGAGTAGGGTTTGCTTACATCTTTTAGATTCCCAAGTGCATTCCCTTTTCTGTATAGAACAATGAGGATTTTCATGGGGGTTATTCCATGTTTTGTAGTGTCAGCTTGTAATGATATAAATGAAGAGACATTTCTATGTTGATTTTACTTTTCAGAAAATTATAACTAGTTACTTTGGCAGATTTTTAAAAAATTGTTGGCAAATGTTTGTGATCATAAATTAGATAATGGCCAAAGTGTGAAGAGTCGGATCTTCAGTGACTTGTCTAGATTCATGTTGAAAATGCAGTAATGTACCCATGTGTATTTGGAAGAAGCCTGTGTGACACTATCTAGAGAGCTACAAATTGACTAAGTCTGATGGTTCATTTGTTTGGTGTAATTGACTCATTCAAACTGGTTACCAGGCTGCACCCTTGTCTCATTCACTGCACCCTTGTCTTAAGTAGGTTGTCCTTCTACCTCTTTTTTTCAAACTAAGAGGCCAAACTGGATAACCCATTCTGACTTGTTTTGTGTGTTTCTTCCTTCTGAGGGCAAAACCTATAAAATAGGTTTTGAAATGGGGTCGCTTTTATGATCAGATGTGGCCCTAAGTGGGTGGACAGCGGCTGCACAGTGGACTGATGCCCCTGCTTCAGCTGAGGCTCTGTGGTGGAGGGGGTCACGGCTGCCTTCACCTTGATACACATGACCTGGAAGCACGATTGTCTGAGTTCTGGGGACACACATGTGGCTTGCCGGCAGTTTGTTTGCACACAGCTTTGGTGTGTCTTTTAACTGGATTGTCAAACTTGGTAGGGATTACCTTTACTTAAAAACTCAGCAAGGCCAGGCATGGTGGCTTACGCCTGTAATCCCAGCACTTTGGGAGGTGGAGGCAAGAGGATCGCCTGAGCCCAGGGGTTCAAGACCAGCCCGGGCAACTTGGTGAAACCTCGTCTACTCGGCGAGACTTCGTTTCTACAATAAATCAAAAAAAGTAGCCGGGTGTGGTGGCCTGCCCCTGTAGTTCCAGCTACTTGGAAGGCTGAGGCAGACGGATTGCCAGAGCCCAGGAGGTCAAGGTTGCGGTGGCCGTGAGTGTGCCATGGCACTCCAGCCTGTGCAACAGAAGTGAGACTATGACTCCGAAAAAAAGAAACTCGGCAATACATACTGTAAAAATGAGAATTTTTTTCTTCTCCCACAGAAATGACTTCATCGGTTATAACGGTGAAAAACGCCTCTTCTGAGTACTCTGGGACATACAGCTGCACAGTCAGAAACAGAGTGGGCTCTGATCAGTGCCTGCTGCACCTAGACATTGTTCCTCGTAAGTATCTTTTTGTCTGCTGGTTCTTTCGTTTCTGTATGCCACCTCCTTTAATTGAGTCGGCAAGTGTGTATTGAGGGAAAGGGGATGCTAATCTTCGACAGAGCACTCTGTGGCTTGGCTGTTCGCTTTTCTAGAGGAATATACTTTACTAATAAAGCTATCACTGCAGTGATGTATAAAGAAGGTTAAGAGTTGTTAAATCAACTCTTGTACCACATCAAACTATTATAAGTACGAGTGCCTGAGAACATTTTTGTGTGTTAACCAACATCTCTTAGACATCTTTTACTTTTGTGCTTGAAATCGATTTTGTCGTTTAGAAGAAAGTTCTGTTTTATAAATTTCCCCCTCTGGATGAAAAAAGACAAACAGATTTATGACTTAAAGTTAATAATGTGTAATGAAATCAGTCTATCAATTTATCCTACTCTCAGTATCAGTAGATGTTTATGTATTTTTTTTTGTTACTATTAATTCTTACTACTATCTTATTCTAGCTTCAAATAAAGCTGGGACAATTGCAGGAGCTATTATAGGAATTTTGCTTGCTCTAGTGCTCATTGGTCTTATCGTCTTTTGCTGTCATAAAAAGCGCAGAGAAGAAAAATATGAAAAGGAAGTTCATCATGATATCAGGTAATTGAGACAGGAGTTTACTGATGTGTTCCAAGTGTGTTGTATCTCTAAAGTGTTAGTTCACTTATTGATCATTCAAAACATCTACCCTGTGAGAATTACTTTCAACTTCAAGTGCACAGGTCCGGCAGTCCTTTATTGTGTGCCCCCCAAAAAACTTTCTTGTGCCCCATTTTAAGAACCATTGCAAAACAATTATCTCTAGACTACCTGCTTTCTCACAATAAACTTGGAGAGATGGGCCGAGTACGGTGGCTCACACCTGTAATCCCAGCACTTTGGGAGGCAGAGGTGAGAGGATTACCTGAGCTCAGGGTTTCAAGACCGGCCTTGGCAACTTGGTAAGACCTTGTCTCTACAGTAAATCAAAAAATTAGCCAGGCATAATGGCATGCACCTGTAGTTGCAGCTACTTGGAAGACTGGGAAAGATCACCAGAACCCAGTAATTCGAGGCTGTGGTGCCATGAGCATGCCATTGCACTCCAGCCTGGGCAACAGAGGGAAACTCTGACTCAAAAAAAAATTACTACTTGTTGACAATTTACTTCGTCACCCAACAGCTCTGATGGAGATGCACAAGGAGATGAGTGTTGTTTTCATGCCTGCTAACAAACATCCATTCTGTAACCCATGGACCAAGGAGTAATTTAGAGTTTTAAGCCTTATTGTTTAAGAAATACATTTTGGTCAGACACAGTCACTCATGCCTGTAATCCCAGCACTTTGGGAGGCAGGGGCGAGAGGATTGCCTGCACTCAGGTGTTCCAGACCAGCCTGAGCAACATGGCGAGACCTCGTCTCTGTAATAAATAAAAAAAATTAGCCAGGCATGGTGGCACGTGCCTGTGGTTCCAGCTACTTGGAAGGCTGAGGCAGAAGGATCACCTGAGCACAGCAGATTTAGGCTGTGGTGGCCGTGAGTGTGCCATTGTCCTCTAGCCTGGGGGACAGAGTGAGACTCGACTCAAAAAAAAAAAATTCATAAGTAGTAATGTTTTGAAGGCAGTATTTTTTTTTCTTAAGTGTGCTTAAAATATTTAGTTAACCATGCTTTAAGCGAATGTACAGCATCTAGGCTTTGTTATTCCATTTCTAGAGCACAAGCAGAGTAGATTTAGCGTAATCTTTAAGGGCCCCAGAATTTTCAGAATGGTAAATGAACATCGACTTCAACTTGAAGTCACCAGCTGTATTAGTTCCTGCTCACAGGGTCTACCTGGCCTTTTAAACTCTGTAGCCAGTTATTGACTTCTCTAGGCGTGAAAGGCCTATATGAAATCTTATTCCTGTGGAAGGCTGCTTTGTCTCCATTGAAAATCTGTTGCTTAGTGTAGCCATCTTCACCACTAATCTTAGCAGTATCTCCTAGATAACTTGCTTTTCCATCATCATTTGCTGCTTCACCTTGCTTTTTCATGTTTTGGAGGAGTCTTCTTTCCTTTAGTCTCATGAGCCAACCTCCGTTAACTTCCAGCTTTTCTTCTACAGCTTTGATAGAATTGAAGAGAGGATCTTGCTGGATTAGGCTTTGGATTAAGGGAATGATTTGGTTGGTTTTGATTGTCTATCCACACCGCTCAAACTTTTCTCCTATTCATCCATAAAGCTGTTTCCCTTTCTTATCATTTGTGTGTTCACTGGAGTAGCATTTTAATTTCCTTCAAGAACCTTTTCATTGCATTCCCAACTTGACTAACTGTTAGGTGCAAGAGACCTAGCTTTTAAGACCTATCTGTCTTGGTTTTCAGCCTTCCTTCCTCAGTAAACCTCATCATCTCTAGCTTTTGAGTTAAGAGAGAGAGAGAGATGTTGCTTTCCTTTTACTTACACTTAGAGGCCACTGTAAGGTTATTAATTGACCTAATTTCAATATTGTTGTGTCTCAGGGAACAGAGAGGCCCTAGGAGAGGGAGATGGTCAGAACACACACACACACACACACACACACACACACACACACACACACACAACATTTACTGATTAAGTTCACCCTCTTGTAGGCGTGGCTCATGGCGCCCCAAAACAATTTAGATAGTAACATCAAAGATTACTGATCACAGATCACCATAACAGATATAATAATAAAGAGAATATTTGAACTATTGTGAGAATTACCAAATTGTGACACAGACATGACGTGCACATATGCTGTTGGAAAAATGGCACTGATGATTTGCTTGACACAGGGTTGCCACAGACCTTCACTTTGTAAAAAATCAGTATCTGCGAAGTACAGTAAAACAAAGCACAATAAAACTAGTATGCCTATATTTTTTAAACACACCCAATATAACTCAAATATACAGCCATCCCTCCGTATTCATTGAGGATTGGTTCTAGGACCCCCTGCTAAAATCCGAGTTTGCTCAAGTCCCTGATATAAAATGGTGTACTATTTGTATATAACTTACATACAGCCTCCTGCATACTGTAATCACCTCTAGTTACTCATAATATCTGATATAATGTTAATCCCGTACAGATGGTCATTGTAATGTATTGTTTAGGAAATAATGACAAGAAAAAAAGTCTGTATATGTCCGGTACGGACAATTTAAAAATACATTTTTTGGACTGTGGTTGGTTTAATTTATGGATCTGGAACCCATGGATGCTGAGGACTTACTGTGTGTTCTTTGTCAGTGTTTGCTGTGAAAACTCTTACGCCTAAATTTCCAGTTTTTGCAAAGTTAAATCTGCAAGGTTTTCAGCTAAGATATCAGATAAGCTTCATAGCAAAAAGGAATATTTTTCCTTTGGTGAGAGGCATATATCTGTAAGCATTACTGCTTTATCAGCTATAAAGTATTACATGACTGTAGCTGATTATCTTGACTAGTGTTACTAGAATATGAAACTATTTGAGATTTATTCTCTATAAGACAATATTATAGAACTGTATACATTTGTGTAGATGCCATATTTCATTAAGTGGAAAGTTATATATACTTTAATAAAAATCGTGGACATGAACAATTCATGACATCATGCCCTGTTCTGTTTGCTTTTTTGGTGACACATACACTTTTATATACTTGGTACTTAAATAGAGGTCCTTTCCCATGATTCATAGCTTACATAATTGTATGTTTTTAGAAACTTTTCTTCTGACTTGTGTTGGGGATTTTGCTTTCCAGGGAAGATGTGCCTCCTCCCAAGAGTCGCACGTCCACTGCCAGAAGCTACATTGGCAGCAATCATTCATCCTTGGGATCCATGTCTCCTTCCAACATGGAAGGATACTCCAAGACTCAGTATAACCAAGTACCAAGCGAAGACTTTGAACGTGCTCCTCAGAGTCCGACTCTCACACCCGCCAAGGTAGCTGCCCCTAATCTAAGTCGAATGGGAGCGGTTCCTGTGATGATTCCAGCACAGAGCAAGGACGGGTCTATAGTATAGAGCCTTCCTGCCTCTCGTCTGTGCTCTCCATGTTGCTTTCCTTCTCTTGATATATGAAAACCTATTCTGGTCAAAATTTGGTTATTAGCCTCTAAATATATCAAAAAGAAGTTAAACGGGAACTGTGAGAGGTATTCTTCAAAACATTTTTGTTTGGTCTTTTTGAAACAGTTAAAAGACTAATTCCCCATCTGGAAAAGCTGGATTTTCTTTAAGACACTGATTTTAAAGGTTTTTAAGTATCAATACCTAAGTAAGATGTAGCACTTTGAATATGAAATCATAGGTGAAGAAATTGGTGAATTTATTTGCATACTAAGTTGATACTTGAATCATCTGAAAGTAGAACTTTATAATTTTTATTATTATTTTTAGTATGTGTTTCTCATTTATTTATGAACCAACAGTCTCCCCCAAATTAGTAAAGAAACATCCATGGCAAAATTGCTTATATATGTTTGTACTTGTTTTTATAACCTCTTTGAAAACTCAAAATGTGTATGGAATATCTCTAACAACATAGAAAAAACATCACAGTGTTTTATAAATTTCTAGTTTTACTTCCAAGTCATTCGTAAACTTTTCTATGAAATGATTTCTTAAATATTTAGTTGATAGACTGCTACAAGCAATAAGGACTTGGTCATCTCCTTTACTGCTCAAGGAGCATCTGTCAGAGAGAGTTAGAACACTTGTTGTCAACTACATATCAAGATGACAGTAGGTGCAGTAGTGAGGATAAATTCTGTTGGTGAATGATCTGCCTGAACAGCCAGATCAAGGATAGTATTTCATAGTTCCCAGCTGAGCAACTGGCTTTCCACTTGAGGTGATTTTTGTCTAAAAAAATCTTCCAATTCATTTACTATTTGACAATTACAGGCTGACAGTTCCTAAATATTGATTCTAAATTTCAAGTGTTTTTTTCTGGTTCAGTGCTTTTTGTTTTTGTTATATCTTTTGGATGATGTTACATATTACATGTTCTAGAAACATGTAATACTAAATTTGCCCTCTTGAATGCAGTCCCTGAAGGATATTTTCTTCATAGACTCAGAATGATCAAATAAATTTTAAGCAAGTAGATGCCCTCCATCAATTCTGCATGCCAGACTTGGGAGGATGTTTAGTTGCTGTTGTATGGCCAAACATGTCTTTGTGTAGTTCCAGCAAATCAAATTGAGCTTTGAAAAAGTTTGTTTTAGCTTTGTGAAAGTGACTTATTCTTTAAAAAAGAAAAAAGAAAAAGAAAAAAAGAAAAGAAAGGAAAAGGAGTAAAGGGACTCCTCCTACTTGCCAAATGTGTTAGATACTGTTTTAGGAGAAGAAACTGGATATATTGTCTTTCTCTTAAGATTGTGAGGGAGTGTGCATATAGTGGAATGAGCCAACAGTTTCTTTATAGTAAGTAAGGTCTGCAATAAATTATTTCACTAGGTCTAAAACCTTTCCCTAGATTTTAGTAGGGAGTTGGTTTCTTTTAATCTCTTTGGGTGCTGTGGTGGTAAATGCTACATTATAAATGTTGGCATGTATTTACGATTAGGCAGAGAGTATTGTGATACTTTTTAATGGTAAACTTAAGCTGAATGTTTATGTAATGGATTTGTGTATAGTTTTACATATTTGGGAGCATTTTAAAAAATAGGTTTTGAACCTTACACAACATTACTTTTATATTTGTGTTAACATTTTCATCTGTGCCTTTTGGGTAGTTTAATTTCTATTATGAATTTCTGGTGCCTATGAGCTAGCTATCACCTACCTGAAAGGTGCTTAGAGGTGAAGGTACTGTTTCTAAAAACATCACTGTGACACCATTCTATCCTCGTATTTTAAACTTGCCTCTTCTGTGTTCTTTGTGGATCTAACCTAAATGATTGTGTTATTCATAAAGATTTAAAAATTTCCACATCCCTACACTCTTTGACTGTGTTTCTGATTTCATAACAGTAGCTAATTTTGAATGCCAGATGTTTGACCTGTTTTATAGAAATACAACTTACTTATAAAATATTGTAAGTTAAACAGAACACAAACTTGAAAGTTTTGATTTTTCCTATTCCTGATTTTCATATAATGAACATTATGCTTTCAATCTAAGTAGAAGTTACCACAGAAAGTGGACATGTATAAGACTTTCCTTTTTTTTATTTTTAAAAAATAAAGAGCACACAGGGGACAAGATGTTCCTTTCCTTAGACTTCATTTTTATCTAAGATTTGGCTATAAGTAAATAATATCTTCCAGAAAGACTTTCTGTTCAGTTCCATACCCTCTATAGTCTGAGAAACAAGTTTGTGAGAACACTTGTGTAACCTGAAGAGACCTCTTGGGTGTGATTAAGTTTAGAGGATATAATTTAGTTTTAGGCTTATGTTTCCAGCAGTTCTCACTGTAAATTTCTATTGGTCAGATAGTATTCATAATTTCCCAAATAAATCTCACTGATCATTTTAGTTGAACTAGAGATCACGTGTTTGTTCTAGAATTACAATTGAGAATCACCAAGTAGTTAAAAAAAATTTTTTAAAGCATTTCAGCTAAAGAGCCAAATAATGCTGGTTGGGGACAGTATTGCATCTTCAAAGCAAAACTGTTTGGTTCTACTTTATACCCACAGACTTGATACCATCTCCTTAGGGTACACAGAATAATTTAAAGAGAAAATATTATTCCCTTGTTAGAAAGTCACCCACCTTTATCCTTATTCACCCCAGAAATCTCTTGTTAATGACACTGCCTGTCTTTCCAGACAAATGGCTTCCTTTAAGTTTGAATTACCTGCCATGGACTTGTTAAAATGGAAACACAGCCTGAGTGTGTCTTAGGGGAGGTTAATTGAAATACTTGAATCATTATTCATATGGATTATGGATATTAAAAATATCTGATTTTTATTAAAAAGATAATTTCTAATTTTAAGGTTAAACCCTGGACATTTGGAGAAAGTAAAGGGGCAAGTGAACATTTTGATTAAATATAAAAGAACTCATTGCATGAAATTCTGTAATGTATGACTTCTTAAAATAACTATTCTCAGTGTCTTTGTGTGTGTGCAGCATGTAAATTTGAAGTTACGTGAATGTTTAGAGTTTTGTTTTCTAATTTTCACTTCAGCAGTGTTTAGGGCTTTCAGATGCCTTATTCCAGTATGAACAGAAAAAGTCAATTTTTTATGTGGTTAATACTTTGATGTGTCACATAACAAGTAGTTTGTAGAAAATTTTGGCACAACTTTAACTTCTTAGTGGCTTGTTATATTATATTATATATATATGTACATATATCTTTATAACATTCCTGTGTTTAGTAGTATAAATGTTCTGGGCAAGTGTTAACATTTTAAATGCCTTTGGATATTCCAGCAATAAAGGCAACATGTTCTGCAATAGGATTTCTTATTCATTTGCCTATTTTGACACTAAAATAGGCCACAACTGAGCACAAATTCCTTTTATAAATGTAGTAGAAACAGGGAAGAATAATAAATACATTTGTGAATTGTGGTTCTTTCCCTTTAGGTAAGGCTTATCATTTATCCTATGGTTGATTAGCACTACCCTCTTATTAATTAAAATCAAGTTTTACAAAATATATATCCTGTTTTGTAATTTAAGAAGATAGTGAATGTCAGTTGGGTTTGGTTTTGGTCTTGGATACTAAAAGTTCCATTGAAGAAGAACTTTGTGTTTTCTTTCCTTTTTTGTGGGGGGGGGGTCGGAGTCTCAGTCTGTCGCCCAGGCTGGAGTGCAGTGGCATGCTCACAGCCACCACAGCCTCAACCTGTTGGACTCAGGCAATCCGCCTTAGCCTTCCAAGTAGCTGGAACTACAGACACACACCACCACGCATGGCTAATTTTTTGGTTTGTTGTAGAGATGAGGTCTTGGTGAGTTGCTCAGGGTGGTCTTGAACCTGTGGGCTCAGGCAATCCTCTCATCTCGGCCTCCCAAAGTGCTGGGATTATAGACGCCCGGCCTTGTGTTTTCTGCTGGCTTATTTAGTGACACAGGTGACTTATTTAGTGACACAAGAACCACAATTCATTGATTCACTTATTCTTGTCCTTAACTGTGAATTTTAGTGATAAATACACTTGTACTACTGAGAAAACTATTTTGACACTTCACGTGTGCAAAGTAGAGAACTGATAGTGTCAGTTTCAGTTTTTGTATTTAAAATTTCTGGCTTATATATCCAATGGTGCAGATTTTGAAATTTGTAAGAACAAAACTTGTTTAAAAAACCAAGAACTTGCTCTAGTTTTGTGACCTTGTGTACTTTTGAAATAAAATCAAGAAAGCAGTCTGTGCTTCATGGTGTGGCTTTATTGTACCTTTTAAAAAATGTCCTCTGATGCTTCAATATGTTATTCCTCCCTGCTTTCCTTGTCGATGTTTTTTCTTTTCCCCAAGCTTCCTTTAAACAGAAACAATAAAGATTGGAGCAATCTAATATCACTGAAAACATGTCAAGCACACATATTTATTTCCCCACTCTTGTGTACTTGTATGACAGTATATAATGAAATATTTGGGATTGAAATCTCCAAAGTTCTTTGATCATTTCAGAATTTAAAGTATTAAACTCAAGTAGTTTTCAGATGCTTTAACAATATGCATGCATATATATATCCAACATGCACATCTGTGAGTCCATTTCTGCTGTTAAACGAAATACTTCAGACTAGGTAATTTATAAACAACAGAATTTTGTTGCTCACAGTTCTGGAGGCTGAGAAGTCCAAGATCAGAGGTCTGACACATTTGGTGTCTGGTGATGGCCTGCCCTCTGCTTCAGAGATGGCACCTCCTGCTATGTTCTCCATAGTGGAAGGCGTAAGGGGGCTTGCTCAACCCTTTTTTATAAGGCCATTTATCCCATTCTTGAGAGTAAAGCCCTCATAATTTGACCAC